AGACACATAGATGTGCCTTTCGCCTCCAGCTCACTCCTGCGCCTCCCCTTCAGGGTGTGAAGACAGACAGATGCCACACGCACACACAAAGACCGAACTACAAATATCATGCGAAAAATCGTCCGAAGCGTCTATAAATATTGGGCCTTGCTGCTGTGGAGAAAGAGAAGCCTCTGAAACCCAGGAAGCCCAAGGCAATGGAGGCAGGACACCCATGGTAGAGATAGGAGTTCCGTGACTTTTGAAATAAGGTTTATATGTTAACTTCATAGGGGTTTTCTCTTTCCACGGTCTCCTCTTAAGAGGACGTAGTCATGACTAAAAAAAAGCTATGACGTTTAGACAGCCTCCACCCCTTCCCTCCCTCCTCCCTCCTCCCTTTTCCCTCTCTTCCACCTCTTTTCTCTCCTCACCTCCTCTGCTCACCCCTGGAACTTCTGACGGAATATCAGAAATCCGATCACATTAATTAACAAAAGAACAAACAAATCAACAAAGAAAAAACACATTAATCAACAATGAACTTATCAATTTTAATCCAATCATCACGAGGAGAATAACCCAATCATGAGGACAGGACAGGACAGGACAAGCCAGGCATACACACCGTCGTATGCAGACCATACACATCATGATAAATCCGTGCCATCATCTCGGCAGACCGCTTCGTTGCCGCATAGGGACTCCTTGGCGAATCAGCCACGTCACTTTCTTTAAATGACAGATGCTCTCTGAATCGCTCAAAGATCAACGGCGTTCCTCTTCCTGGTTCCAATCCTGTTCCCAGTCCTGGTTCCAATCCTGTTCCTGTTCGTGTTCCTAGTCCTGGTCCCGATCCTGTTCTTAGTCCTGTTCCTGTTCCTGGTCCCGTTCCTGATCCTGTTCCTGGTCCTGTTCCCGGTCCTGATCCTGGTACTGGTCCTTGGTCGGTTGGCATTGATGCGGCTGAGAGATCTTTCAGCCGAGGTCGATCACCATAGACGCTGCTGCTTGAAGCATAGACGAAATTGGAGCAGCGGGACTTGGCAGCACGATCAAGGAGAATGGTGGTCCCCTCCACGTTGGCACGGACATACTTGTCTGGATAAGACAGGCTGGCACGCACTCCAGCTCGAGCAGCTAAGTGACACACCATATCTATGGCTTGGCTGTCGAAGAGGCGCTCCATCTCTGCACGATCTGCCACGTCGGCTTTGACCACGCACAAATCATCTCCACCCGATTTCTGCGCAATTTCTGCAAGGCACTTTACCGCGAGCAAATCAAACCAATCAAATAAAAATGTCGACTTTAAGTTTCAATTTCGGACCCCAATTTTTTTGTGTTTTAAGATTCTGCGTATAGGCTATAAAGCCTTCGACCGGACTTCAACCGGAGGCCTTTCCCTTACCAAGGGAATGCTATACCACCTGAGCTACGTGGGCTAAGTTAAACGCGGAAATTGGAGACGATCGGACTTGAACCCATAACTTCATACTTGCAAACTTGCAAAACTGCGAAAACATCAGTCAAAGTCAAAACTACCCATCGAGTTCCTCAAAGCATTTTACGGTATTACAGAAAGATGGGGAACCAACTGATATAATGACAAAGTTTGCACAGAGATGGCTGTTTTCCACAAACCACAAGGACAGCCGGATCCATGAGAACTTCACCATACTAGACCGAATAGCTCGTGAGCCTTTTCCTCTCTGTTCCAATATGCTGTGGTCCCCCCATCGAGTTGGTCCCAATTGGGTGAGTTGGATGCTTTAAGCCACATTGCGCAATGGGTGATAAGCTTTCAAAGTGCTTTTTTTTTTTTTTTTTTTTTTTTTTTTAGGGTGATCACAACTGACTATATTCTTCTCTCAACTTCTGTTTGTTTTTGCCTTCCACTACCTACTCCTAAGACTATCTAGAGGGGACCCCTGCAAGCATAGTTTTTCCTCTCTTTGTGAAGGGGGGATTTCATGTTGCCAAAATGCGCTTGTACATTAAAAAAAAAAAAAAAAAAAGTGCTTCCATTTGGTTTTAAAAAAACATTTATGATCTATATAGCTGTGACATGTTTTTTTTGGCATTTTCTGAATTATTTGATTTGTTTTGTGGATTAGTATTTAACAAATAATATTTATGACCATTTGAACGAACTATATACTGAAAATTACGAGGCTCATATTCAAACCTCAGGATGCTTTTTGGACTTCATCTTCATCTCTTGTGATTGAGAAATGAGAGATTGGACTTTCTTCTTTTTCTCTCCAGATATAATTGAGTCTAGAGAGTGGGTAAGTAAACAAGATAATACGCCACCCGCCAGGGGCTTGCATCGCAGCTCCAGGCACGAAGTCGAAGTAATAACAAAAACGAAAATGAATCAGAGAAAGGGGGGGG